GTGTCAACTAAAAATAAATAAATAATATGATAGCAGGCATCAATTATAGGATCTTGGTGGGCAGGGTTAGTTTGTATCCAGCTGGCTGAAGTGATCGACATGCACCATACTGTTGTATTTTTCTGCAAGACTTGGCTTATATATTATTCTGCTCTCAAGAATTCCATTTTTCCTAACTATCTATAACACCACCAAAGTAACAACAGATATCCAGTCAACTCCCTTAGTGTCATGACAGGTAACGGTCAACTTGCCTCTATATTCTGGCGCACAAAACAGGACGTTATTACTTTTTCAGTTTAAACAAAATTTTTTTTTTAAAATCAATCGGCTCACATCCAACTGTGCCTGACATGGCACCTTGTTGTTCTTTGTGTGGAGGAAGATTGTCAAGCTTAACTAACAAGTTCATTTTGAGCAGCCTTTCTGCCTTTACAAGCAGCATTTTCAGCTGTAGAAATGTTGTGGTCTCTTGTGCCACGCCAACATCTTTCTTCAGATGTACCTACATCACCTCCATCATCAAGACTGTCATCATTGTTGCTACTTTCAGTTGCAATACATTTACAGGTGAATCAGGCATGATTAAAAAAAAAGGCTAAATATCCGCTGGTAACAAAAAAATGATTAAAATTTCCCTGAAAACAGTGCTTTTATCGGTATCGACCATGGGCACAGTCATCCTGAAATAATCAAAACACCCGGATGCAATTAAATTGAAAAACTATCGGTAGGGGCATCGGTCGTCAGACTACATGTCACAAATTCGACGATGTGGTCAGTAAAGTGTTAACCATTTGCGACCTACTGACTGACTTTCTCTTGTATCTTGACTGTTACAACTACTGGTTAGCATTTGTCTAGTTGTGTTATATCTTGACTGTTACATCTACTGGTTAGCATTTGTCTAGTTGTGTTATATCTTGACTGTCACTTGTACGGGTTAGTGTCTGTTTTCTGCTGTCATTAATTCAGCAAATATAAAAACGGAGAATGGGGGCAACAACCAACACATAAAGATACTCACCAATGTGAACAGAAACTGTCTGCTTCATGTCAGCCATCTTGGTGCTCAAGTCCTGCAGCAGGTCACATGAACTGTTGATGTGTGTGTCCATTTTATTCTGGAAATTTGCTGCCACATTTGTATTGTGTTGCTCAACATTGCACTTGCGG